CAGCGCGCACCCTCTGCCTCCCGGGCCGCTTTTCAGCCGCTTCCTGTGCACGCCGCTGGCGGCCGCCTGCCCGTCGGGGGCCGAGCCAGGCGACGCGGCGGGCGGCGAGCACGAGGAGCTGTTGCTGCTGCAGAGCACGGCCGAGCAGCTGCGCCAGACGGCGCTGCAGCAGGAGGCGCGCATCCGTGCCGACCAGGACACCATCCGCGAGCTCACTGGCAAGCTGGGCCGCTGCGAGAGCGGCCTGCCGCGAGGCCTCCAGGACGCCGGACCCCGGCGCGACACCATGGCCGACGGGCCCTGGGACTCGCCCGCCCTCGTGCTGGAGCTGGAGGACGCCGTGCGCGCCCTCAGGGACCGCATTGACCGCATCGAGGTGAGCGCCGCCCGCGCCGTCGGGGGGTGGGGTGGGGGGGCCGGCCCAGTGGGAAGGGCGCCCGGGTAACGGAGCTGAGGGACCCTGAACAGGACCCCCCGCGGGTCTCTGAGCCTCCTGTTGCCCGTCTGGGTTCCAGGGAGTAGCGTTTCTCCGTCGCTGGCGAGGGGGAAAGATAACCGGAGGAGACACAAAGAAGCGTCTTGCATAGGGTCTGAGGCGCCGGGCACGAGTGAAAAAGGCTCCTTCCCTTCCTTGCACCTGTCCAGGCACTGGCATCTCTGAGCCTCAGAGTCTGCGTCCGTAAAATGGGTACAACAGTGTTCACGTGTAGTGGGGACTAATTCAGGTCGCTTGATTAGATGGGAAACTGCTTGGCACAAATTCAGAGTTTATTGAGTGTCATTTTCACTTCCTTAATCTGACACTTCAAAGCAACACCGGCCCCACACACTCCCTATGGTCCGGAGACAGTACTTGCAACCAAAGAGGCTGGCATCTTCTGCTCTTTATGCCCAAGAGTAGGGAAGAGTAGGCCCATTAGCCAAATCCGGGTGCCCCTCAACCCAACTCATCTCAGACTGACAGCCAGAGCTCAGATACGCCCCCCTCAACTGCTGATACCCTAAAGCCTGCTGCTCTGGGTATCTGAGTGAAATAGGAGCCCACCGCTTCTTGGTGGCCCTGATCCGATTCACAGCCTGATACATGGGGTACTGCAGAGGAAGTCTGTCTTGGCTAGTCATTTGCTCTTTAGGAAAGGTTATCAACCCTTCTTCCCTGTGGTAAACTGTTTGTGGTTCCCCAGAGAAGCCCCCAGATGGTCAGACTGAGCAGGACAGTCAGACTGGACAGGACAAACCACCAGAGACATCAGCCATTACTGACTTATTTCCAGACCCCAGGGAAGAGGGTTAGAAAACTTGAGGATTTAACAGACAAACTGGATCTGTGGAAGGGGGGTGGGTACAGACTAGAGCACCAGCTGCCTTCTCCATGGCTTCCCTACACACAAAGGGAATGCTCCCCCACCCCCACCCCCAGGCAAAGCAGAGGGACGGAACAAATGCAAGGACCCCCATCCCTAGCAGAGCAGCATGAAGGATGCCTTTATGGAAAGCTGATAGTGGCCATGGCGGGTGCCCTCCCAAAAGTCTGTGCTGGGGTTGGTACCCACCCCACAGCGTGTCACCATGGCAGCCAGGTGGCTTATAGATCCCCTAAGGGCACACTTCAAGGGAGAGGCAGAGGCAGGAAGGAGGGTCTTGTCTGCCAGGCCAGAATCCTTCCCCACACCAGTTCTGTGGGTGTTTCTAGAATGAGAGGGTCAAGAGAGAGTGTAATCAATTTCTTTGCCTGTAAAATAGGGATAATTATAATAGCACCTACCTCACTAGAGTATTAGATGAATTAAGTGAGGTCATCTCTGTGAAGTTTCCAGAACAGTGCCTGATAATTAGTACTCAGCCCATTTGAGTGATTACTAATTTTATCATTAAGCTATAAATTGTGTGTGTGTTTTAATAGAGTCAAAAATCAAACTAAAAACAAACCGTCCTTTTAGGAAATAGTTTATAGTAATGTGTAAAAAAATTTAAAAAAAAGATTTGATTTTCAGTAAACTTCCTCCTTGCCTGTCATAGCCTCCACCCACCACACACACAGATGGCACAGGTGGCTCCCCCACGTCTGGAACTGGCAGGCTGGGCTTGTCTAATACCTGTTCTGCCATCACCTGCGGCACTTGGCAGGGTGGTCTCCATCTGGTTAGCCTGCTGAGGTTGGGAGGATCCTGATGACTGGGCTTTGGCACCAGATCAGGCTTTCCGGCTCGGGGAACCCTGGCTTCCCCACATGCATGCCCTCTGCTTTCTGAGTGCAGTGGATGTGGAGAGGAAAAGGCAGGATGCTTCTTGGCCACCAGGTCTGTCTGTCTTAGGAGCAGTAGCCAGAGCCAGCCTGGGGGACTGGCCTCTGGAGCCAGGCAGCAGGCTTGGGGTCAAGCGCCTGGTGTCAGCAGAACCTCTTGCTTCCTCTAGCCACTGTGCAGTTTCTCCCCGTCTCTTCTAATTCAGTATCTTCAAAAGGATGCTCTTAATTTTTAGGGTCACTTCCTCATCACTCGTTCCCTCTTCCACCATGGTGCACTTTCTGTCCTTGTCTTGCTGGACCCCTGTCAGCCATCTGACCTCTCGAGTCATGTCCTTCTCCAAGTCTCTTTGCCCTTGGCTTGTCCACTGCCCTCTCCTTCCTCTCCACCTCCTTCCCTGCTTCCTGTGGGGTCTGTGCACTCTCACTGTCCCTGGGTAAACTTTGCCATGCCCCAGAGCTTCCAACACCCTGCTCTATGATACCCCTCTAGCCCAGATTGCCTTCTGGAGCTCCAGGCCAGTGGGTCCAACTTAGCCCAGAGATGTCCCACTTCACCCCCTACCTCACAGTGTTTCCACCTGAATTCAGCACCTCCTGAACCTGCCTCTCAGGTATGACCCTGGGAGCCATCCTTGACTCCTCCCTCCCACTCCTGGTTCCTATCAGCATCATCTCCCTGGGTTCTTGCGGCAGCCTTCTCACCATCTCCCACCTCCAGAGCACCCGTCCATCAGCCCTCCTCCAGGCAGCCCTAGGGATCTTCCTAGCCCTGCTAGGGGGCTCCTCTGTGGAAGGGACTTATGGTAGGAACTCGCCTGCTCCCAGGCTGCCCTGTCAGATCTGACCCAGCTCTCCAGCCCATCTCCCAGTTCTTCCTTGCATCTGCATAGATCACCCACAGTGCATCCCTGCTCTTCATTTAAGAATCTGCTTTGAGGACACCTCTTCCGGAAAGCCTTCCATGATCACACTCTGTGCCCTCCTTTGCTTGCATCACCCTCAGCTCTTCCTTGCATCCTCCCCTCACTGAGCCTACAAAGGAAAGGGGAGCTCTGCCTGCTTGGTCCCTTCCATCCAGGCTTCACATTTGAGGGCTTAGGTGGAAATTGTGTTTTCTTTTCTATGTTGTTGTTTTTATTGTCTAGTGGGGAAAAGTCCAAAGGTTTTTAGAGGGAAACTGAATTTAATTCCACCACCTTATCCCATTTTGAATGGTCCCTGGGTGGCACAAGTGGTTTGCACTCAGCAGCTAAAGATTGGTGGTTTGAACCCTCTCAGCAGCAATGCAGAGGAAAGACCCTGCAATCTGCCTCCAAAAAGATTACAGCCAAGAAAACCCTATGGGATTCTATCCTGTAACACATGAGTTTGTCATGAATCAGAATCTACTCTACATCACTGGGTTTGGTTGGGTTTTTTTTAGTACGTTTGTGCAGTCCCCTTTCAGCCCTTATCCATATGCAGATACTTTGTTTCTGGGTTGCTATGAAATTACCATTTTAATGTTGCCTGGGATTCCTCCCCAGCTCTACCATTCATCAGTCATTTGGCCTGCCTCTTATTGTTGGAGATGTAGATGGTTTCTAATTATTTTTCTGTTAGGTGCTCATCATAGGATCAATTTCTTGCAGATAGATGTTTGTTTGGATTCTGTCTCTCTCTTTAAGTCTGTTGACTTATTTCTCTAGGGTTAATGGGTCAGAAGATAACAACTTTTCACAGCCATGACCAAGAATCACTTTCCAATGAGGATTGTATCTTTCATATGGCAACCAGCCATGTATGCATGCTTCTGTTTTCCATTTTGGCACTAATTTAATGTATGTGTAAACTGGAACTTCAAGATTGACTTAAGCCATTCTTTAACCCATCAAATAACATGAAGGTGGTTGACCTTCCATAACCCTGGAGTGGGAACCAGACAAGGAACCCCCTGCCTTTTACTGAGGACTCTAGACTTAGGGACCTCTGACTTTTGCTGTAATAACAGTTATAGCTTACACTAACAGACCACTTAGCACTTGCTGAGTGTTAGGCCCCGTGTTTGTTCTCATTTAACCCTCATGAAAGCTCTGTGAGGGAAGTACTCTTCTAGCTCCCGTTCTTAGATCAAGAAATTGAGTTTCAGAGAGGTTAAGAAACTGACCAGAAGTCACACAGCAGTGGAGCTTGGATTTGAAATTGGCAGTATCTGACTCCAGAACTGCTGTTCTTCATTTGCTCTAGACCCATCAGACCTCACTCTTCTTTGAGAGAATGAGCAAGAGAGGTGAGGGCAGACGTCTTTGCTTGACACTGCACTTGACAATATCTGTCCATGGCACGCAGAGCGAATGTGATGAGGCCAGCAAAGGTTTGTCCCAATGGCTAGTGAGATCATCAAGGAGCTCGCTATGGATCTTTTGATAATAATCATGGTGATAACAACAGCAAACACTTATTAGGCGCTGACTGTATGTATTAGTTTATTTTGTATATTCAGTCTTAGTTCTATGAAGTAATCTGTGTATCCCCACCTTGCAGATGAGGAAATGGAGACTCCAGATATGGAGGAAACACGGAACCAGACAATTACTAGCTAATCATTTTCCTACTTTGAGCCTCAGTGTTCTTATCTGTAAAATGGGGGTGGGGCTCAGTTTGGTTTCGGGTCCTTTTGGGCTCTAAAATTCTGGGTATTTGGGAAGATACTTCCTGAATTAGGAATTTCGTGGTTTGTGCATGCATGTGAATGTGTGTCCAACCTCACTGTCCCCACCCACCACCCTCAGTTGGGAAATCTGTAGATAAACACAGTAACTGAGATTTATTGACACCTCTTTTGAACTCATATTGATTGCTTGTGCTTTTTTCGTACTTTGCTGCCCATTCTGGAAGCTGTTTGGTGGGTACCACTTCCCCTGGTCCTGCCCCTTTGTCAACCAGGGGCCAGCAGAATGTTTGAAGAAGGTTCTGCCCACTGGCCTTTGGTTTGAGGATGTGGAGTTGCACTGCCCTCCCTCAGTCTTCCCCCCAACCTCCCAGCCCCCGAATGAGAATTGGCCCTGGATTTCCTCCTGAGTGGCTATGAAGAATCGTGTTCCAGGCACAGACTCTGGGACTAGACTGCCCGGGTCCACTAAGAGTTT